GCAGTATCTGGTTGTCTACCGATTTCCCTGACTTCGACACCATGCTCAGTAGGGAACTTCATGGCAAGGTTATAGGACAAAATGACTGCCTTGAGTGCATGAAGGGTTGGCCTCCCAATGATGGTGTTATACAGGGAGCTTATCTTTATGACCAAGAGCTCGGTCATCCGAGTCACCTACCGAGGCTCTGTCCCTACTATGGTTGGTAGGGTTATTCTTCCTTTTGGTTTGATGACAATGCCGGAGAAGCCAACCAATGGCATGTCAGTTAGTTGTAGTTGATCTGGTGTCAACTTCATCTTGTTGAAGGTTTTATAGAAGATGATGTATGTTGAAGAGTCACGGTCTACAAGTATCCTCTTCACTATGTAGTAGGCGATATTATAGACACCACCAACACGTCGTCATGGGGCACCGAGACCCCCCTTCAAGTCATCATTTGAGAAGGAGATGAGGTTGTATGGCTTTGGCTTCTTGGGTGCCGAGCTTTGGATGTTAAGATGCTTGGCATATGCCTTTCGGGTCGAGACCGATGCTCCACCCGAGTTCATGCCCCCGAAGATGACGTCAATGAGCCCTACCAGGGTGTGATGCTACTACTAGTGCTACTGTTGCTATGAGGACGAGGCGCTGATATCACCCTCCACAAATTCTTTCAAGTGACAATAGCTAATGAGTGACTAGATCTCGTTTGAGCTCATAGCAATTCTTGGTGTCATGGTCGGTGCCGCAATGGTACTCACAATACTTCTTTAGGTTACCCCTCTTTGAGTTCCTTTTCATCTTGGCAAGTCACTTCATGTATTCATCCTTCCCTACTTGCATGAGGATATGCGTTCGAGTGGAGTTGAGTGGCCTGTATTTGCTGAAGGAAGGGACCATCGACTTCTTGTTAGTATCTTTGTTTTTGTTGTAGTCGTGGCTACAACTGTCTTTTTCCTTTCTCTTCTTCTTCGAGGTTTCTTGGCTAGTGTCAGCCTCAAGTTCTTAGAGGCACTCACAAGCCTCGACCTCCTCGGCAAAAATGTACTTCTGCGCCTTTTTCAAGAATTTTTCCTTATTCTTGAGCAACATCTTAGAGATGGACCATTTGAAAGGTCCAGGCCGGAGGCCATTGATAGCAGCATGCATGGAGACCAAGGGGTCGAGGTCTTGGACTTCGAGCTCTTCTTGAAACAATCAATGTAAGCTCGGAGGGGAGGTAGGATGTCTTCAACGGGAGCTTGCTCGCCTGTCGGTTGTTGCTGTTGGACGTTAAGGGGTCAGCCTTACGGGGCCAAGGGGGTGTTGGACCAGCGACACATGAGTGGAGTGCCCACTATACTACCCCTGGCTCTCAACAGGACGACCACCTTGTGTGCAGCCTCCTATCGGGTGCCCCACCTCGTCCAGTCTTTGAATTATTCAGTCCAATTGGTTAAGGACCAGTTTGAATTGGTCCATGGTGACTAGGTTTTTAGCATTTTGATTATTATCTTGTTTGTCATTCATTTTTTTGAAGATTAGTGGTTTGAGTTCAATGTTCTCTTAGGGGAAGTCTTGAGAAGTTGACACAAATAGCGCCAATTGTTGCTGCCAAGGATGGAACCAAGGGCAATAAGGTAACTTCACTTTTGGCCAAGGTCGAGGTGTCCAACATGAGACTAAGGAGAAAGCACACGTCAAAGGCCCCGGGTGTTATTCTAAGGCAGAGACTCTGATGATCAAGCTAGTCAAGTGCTTGACAAGAGTCGAACCAAGCTTGAGATGAGGGCTTAGAAAGGTCACTCGACAGCAAGAGAGTTATAGAGCAAGTAGGAGCAAGGTCCTCTTTTCTTAAGATGGGCACTCCCTTTTATACTTGACCTTACTATAGAATGATTAGAGGTTGTTGGGAATGAACGGCCAGGATCATGTCCGACCAATGCCACATGACACAATCCTCGGTCTTGCCATGTACACCTATATCAGAATCCAAATTAATTGAAAATCCATTAAAAGTAAATCTGTAGCTAGTCAAGTAGTTCAACTAGATAGAGAGACTAACCAATGCATACCCTCATTTTCGCAATCCGGTTTTGAATGGCACAATCTTTTTCTTAACAACGTAAGGTGTGGATTCCAATTAAAAAGAAGCAAGAAAATACAAGTGAAAAAAGTAACCCAAGGCCAAAATCCACAGCTGGCCACACACTACAAGAGGTAAAACAACACTTGGCCTTATAACAAAGCGAAAAAACAAAGGCCAGCCATAGAAAAGACTTTACAAGCCACCCAAAAAAATCTGGGCCGGTCCCATCCCTCACCACCGAAGCCCAAAAGACTGCAAACAAAGGCCTTTAAAGGGTGACCTTTCTTCCCCGAGTTCACATCTGCCCCCACTGTATGCGCCCCCAAAACGTTCCACATTTGAGATGTTCATGGGGAGATGTTCCCAATATATAGTTGGAATGTGTTATGGGACGTTTTTGAGGCACATTCTGTGGAATGCCCAACAGCACATCTCAGCATATATTGGGCATGGGTCAACCTGCTAACCCAATTGTTAGGTCTAATTAGGACTATTTATGTATTTTTAGAAATTTCTACTCTTTAATCTTTAATATTTAGTGTTTACTCTCTATTGTTTATTACTTGAATTGTTAAATGTTTGAATTTTTTATTTTACTTTTGGAATTTTAGTGTTAATTCTTTTAATTTTGACATTTTTATTATATTTTTTCTTTATTTTTAAAATTTCAGTTATTTTTTGGATAACCCGAATTGACCCATAGATCAATCCTAACCTGAACATTTAGGGTTAGGGTCTAACATTTGCCAACCTAACCCAAAATATTTTGACCCAACTTAAATCCGACCCACCCAACCTAATTGCCAGATCTAAACACAACAGAATCTCATAAATCCTTTGCCGACGAACGCCTGTTAAAAAATTTTGAAGCCCGGGCCCGGCTGGTTTAAAGAACCATTTCGACCGTGTTAGAGTCTTTGCACCAAGAAATTGGGCCTTATCCTTCCTAGGGCCCAAATCAGGTTTTAGCCGTTCCCAAATAGTGGAGAGGGGAACGACTAAGCTGGGTCCGCTAGAATTTGAAGGTAGAACGTCAGTCCAATCCAGACCCGGATTCCAAACCACATCCAAAACCTTGACAGGCTGTACCTCTTTCACCCACGATACAGTAGTCGGTCCAATAACCGTACCCAAAAAAATGGCTGATTTAAAATTCAAACTTGAATTTGAGCCAGAAATTCCCTCCTCCAAACTTTGACTGCCTGTCACCTGCTCCGTCACCGGTTCTAGTGGCACAAAATCATCCATTGAAATGTGCAACTCAGGAGTTGCCGACGGGAAGTTCTGGTTTTCAACACTGGTTCCCACCGAAGTCATAGCTCCACCCCTGGAAAGACCAAGACGCAAATGCCGCCGATGACGGCTCTGCTTGTGTCTGTGTCCAATTCTCTTCTGTTGAGTTTCAACTTGAGGTCTTTCACATACCTCAGGTTCTTTCAGCAGATCTAATTCTACCTGCTGCAAACATGGCTTCTCAAAGGACCTGGCCACTGCATTCCTAAAAGAGCAACAGGGGTCTCGCCAATAAGCGTACAGCATAATCTAAATTAGGTAATAGATGGCTAGTTGATGTTTTCAAATGGAATTAGTATATGTTTGGCATCGATGCTATAGATACAATACCGTTTTTTAAGAAAATGTGCCCTTTTTTCGTTTGAAAACATTTCTGTTAGTTTAATGTTTTTTAGAGTAATAACAACATTTTCTATTTGGTATCAATGCTCTATGAAATGTTTTCAGCACTGATATCCATTATCCAGTGGCATGTCACTACCATCTCATGTCCCTGTTGACAATTCCAAGAAATGCCAAATTCAGTATTGCTCTAATCCATGCCCTTTTGATTTCTAAGACATGTCTTAAAGCACCATTTTTTATGGAAAAACGATTCAAAAAAAATTGGAACCCCATTTTTTCTAAAGTATTGCCATTTTATGGAGCAAAAGCATCAATGCCAAGCAAACGCTTAACACTTAAATATCCCCTGTGGACTGATCCTATCATCCTACTGGACTTAAAAATACCCTTGATGAGTGAAATGTAAATTGCAAACACAAAAGGAAAAAAAAAGTTAAATCCTATTTTAGCCTCCTATGTTCTCTTTAATTGATAAGACCTTGTTCTAAACATGAGTTTGTTTTGTCATACTTTCTAGCAAAAACTATAAACAACTATCATGATGTTACAACCAGAAGAATTTTTTTCTTCTACATGAACATACAACCTAACATTACCGCCACCGAAGGTATATTTTAATGAATAATATCAGTATAATATACATGGGTTCAACTGATCAGTGAGTAAACATGACTGTTCAACCTAGGTGAATCACAAAACCCAAGTTTCCCATAAGAGAATACTGCTGCAACTGTTCAACCCAGGTGAACCACGAAACTCAGCTCAAACCAACAATAAACAGTATAATAAAATCAAAAGAGTGACCGAAATAAATTTGTAGGACTCAAACAATGGCTGAAATAAACAAACCTACTTTCATCACCTAAAATAAATTTGTAGTACTAAACTGACTAACTGACTCATCAAACTGAAACACAACCACACAAAGACAATGGTAGACCCCATCCTTCCCTCTATGCCCTATTTGTTTGCATAATCCTACAATTGTTGTATTTGGACATATGGATTGGAATAAGTTTTCAGCTATTCTTCTACCTTGTTTTTTTATCTACTTTGATTTAAAAGTCAACTTACTTTCAATGATTCTTTTATTTCTTTCTCAAAATTTGAAGTAAAATAAAGTTGAAATCAACTTACTTTCGGTGATTCTTTTATTGCATTTTGAAAATTTAAAAAAGTTATAAAGTATGTTTAAATCTATTTTAAAATTACAATCTTTAAGTGAATTTATGAAACTCAACAAAATTTAGCAATACATTATACTTTTTCAATTCTTCACAATCGTAAGAATTAAGAGACGTACACATTTCAGAGTACGGTACAAGTGGTGAGGTGGCAATACATGGAGACGTGTACAGCTATGGTATCCTTTTGTTGGAGATGTTCACAGGAAAACGACCTACACATGAGATGTTCACAGGTGATTTTAATCTGCATAAGTTTGCCAAAATGGCTCTTCCTCAACATGTGATGAAAATTGTGGATTCAAGGCTTATATCAAATGAAGAACACGTTAAGGAGAACACTAGCATTAATTATTCCAGTTATCGGACTCACATGGTCGATAAATTGCAAGTGTGTCTAACTTGGGTAATCAGAATTGGAGTCCAATGCTCTATTGCAACACCAAGAGAACGAATGAACATAAGGGTTGTCACCAAGGAATTGAATTTGATTAGAGAAGTCTTTCTTGGAGTTAAGGTTCATGGAGTGAGACCGAATTATTCAATTGAAGGTATGGTTAAACTCTAACATTACTAAATCTTGTGACAGTGTATACCCTCAACTCTAATAGTGATTGTAATTGATTGTAAATATGAATAAAAGTTCAATTACTAGATGTGTCATGTGGTATGTTTATGTTAATTTAACCCTTGTACTACATTTTAGGATCATGTTTAAGACACCATATTCGGTACATAGTCTAATTGTTCTTAACTAAGGGATAGACTTAGGTGGTCAAGTTTTGGATTATTCCTAACTATTGGATAAGTGGAATAATTGAACCATTGCTTGTGATCCCTGACTTGATAATGAGACTCGGCTAGATGTTTAGATATACTGTTTTCTATTTGTCAATTAGTGAGATCCTTTTAGGGTCAATCATTTTGCCAAACAAAGAGAATACATGTGAATATACCCTCTTTAATAGATAGTTAATATTATTGATATTTAAATTTTAAAGGCTGTTGAAATCTGCCTTGCAAAGTAAAAGTGTATATATAAATGGTTTATTTTGAAAGGTATTTGTAAAATAATCCTTTCTTGGTATCCACTGGTAAGAGGAAATGATATTGAGCTATATGTTAAGGGAATAAGTCATTTCTGAATTCCAATATTGGATTTTAATGGATAAAAGATCATGTAGCAAGTGTCTTATTAGACCCAAAACCCTGATGAACATATAATTTGATTAGGACCATTAGACTTGGGCTCATAAGGTGGCTGAGGCCTAAGTAATTAGTGTTGGGTATTAATGGGTTGAAATGTTCAACAATTCATAATTAGAATGAATTCGGCCTAGTGGCCCCAACCCACTTAGTGTGGGTTAATGGGTTGTATGATGGTCCAGTCCAATTGGCATATGGATCCCATGTCATGAATGTCTTCTCTTTTATCCCTTGAGAAATTACAATCCTATTTGGAGTGGTTCAAATATAGTTAAAGACTAAAGACTTTTATTTTGACTAGTCAAACTAGGACTGAATTGGTGTTCTATCTAAAACCAGCCAATACCCGATTCAATTCGGACTATTCTATGGTTTATTAGCGATTAATGAGAAGTATTTCAGAGAATATTAAAGGCTAGAAAATTAGATTTTTTGGGAATCTTCTAGTATAGAAATCATCCATTAAAAAAGGTGATTTTAGCAACCAAATACTTTTGTGTTCTCAAGGATTGAGTTGTTCAATATCAAAAGTTGCACCATCTTCGGCTGCATTCAATATCAAAAGTTCCAACCTTTCTCATTACTTAGGATCTAATTTGTCTTGGTTCAAAATATCAAGGTTGAACTTGAGGAGAAAATACAGTTTTCTCCCATCCGATTTTGTTTCACAACTTTCAATTGTGATCAAAGCTTTTGGTTTAAAGTCTGGAATTTGAAGCTTGCTCAAATTAGTCCAATAGTAATCTGATTATCTTGATAAAATCTTATAAAGCGATTACTCTTTTCTCGGCTTGTTTGATTGGAGGTATAATGGTTTACACCCTAGGGCCATGTGATCTGAAATTAGGGTACATAATATGTTAAACTATTAAGTATTTCTGCTGTGGTTTGCCCAAAATTATCTGTGTGCTTGTTTGATTATTCAATTTGTATAATTCAAAATTGTAATTCAGCTTGGGTGGTTTCTTGATCTTGATCTGGTTTTCCCAAGTATTTACTTTTATTGTTTAGGTTCAATATATTAGGTTTTCTTATTTATTTTGGAAGACCTGAAATTGGATCAAGGAGTAGGATGATGGAGATTATAGTTCGATGCACAAGATGGATATCTTGGTTTTATTTGCAAGAGTAGATATTGATGGAATTGCTTAAAGAGGATGACAAGAATTCGGCCTCACCACTACAGCTTTGTTTTATTATGTGTTTTTATTAATGCTCTTGCATAATATGTTTGGTTTTGGTTCAGAACATTATTTCAATTAACTTAAAAGTTGCAACACTTCAATCCCTGGAATCGATGGCTACAAATTGTTCATCTTGATGAATGATTTCTAGCAATGTTGGGAGCAACTTGTTGCATCCCAAATTCAAACCGTTGCTGTGAAATTGACCCATGTTTGGGACCCAGCCCATGGACACTAAAGAAAGATAAGTCCATTATATTGTTGACAACATTAGTATATGGGCCTAATTGCTTATTGCAACAAGGTCCATATAAGTTGGACTATTAAAAGGTCAGGTGATGGTCATTGTCCATTTAATTAAGTGGGCTTATAGTAAGGGTGATTATGGGCTTGGCCGGGCTTTGCACTTATGATAAGGATTATAGTTTAGGCCCAGGCATGGCTTAATCCAAGGTTTCGGGCCTGAAACATAAGTCCTAGCTCAGGTCTACACGGGTCCTGGTCGGGCCGGTCCTGATTTTGGGCCAATGTCTTTCATATATAAAATATTATACATCCATAATATTTTATATTAAACTATATAACATGCATATAAATTTATTTTATACATTATATAGTATAAAATATTATATATATTACAAAATTATACAAGTCATATTATAATATTTATATATAAAATATATAATCTAATGTAAAATAACATGTATACATAATGTATACATATGTATACATTATACACAAAATGTGTAAGTTTAAATATATGCGGGCTGGGCCAGGCTTGAAGTATTAAGCCCAAGCCCGGCCCTAAAATTTGTGGACTTGATGTGGGCTTGGGCCTAGGTTGGGCCTGAACACAAAACCCAAGCCCAAACCCAGAATTTTCAGGTCGGGTTTGTACGGGCCTGAGTACAATTATAATTTTATGGATTATTAAATTCAATAAATAATTAATATTTTAAGAATTTTAATAACAATATTATTTCAATAACTAAATAATATTCTAAATAACTAATTTCACTTATATCAATTAATAATTACAGAAAATAACTATCAACAAAATTATATTTATTAGTAATAATTTTACAATAATAGTATATATTCATTATATATTTATATATACTATAAGTAATAATAGTGTATATTCAATAATGATTGGAGATTAAACAATTATTATTTAACTTTTGAAATTTAATTTATCGTATTTATTGTATTTTTGTTATAAATTTAGTTTTAGTAATTATGTATTTTTTATAGTTTATAGATTAATACTGATTAGATATTAAACTATTATTTGAGATTAAACTATTTACTGACAAATTTAGTATATTTTCAGTATTTATTATATTTTTGTAATTATTGTGTTTTTATTATATATCTATTATATTTTCATTATAAACTTATTTTCAATGATTGTGTTCGTTTGCTATAAATTTTCAATAATTATTGGAGACTAAACTTTTATTTTTTATTAGAAATTTGACTATAAATTTAGTCAAAATTAGGAGTGTTCAATAATTGGCTCAGTTCAATTGCAAGTTGTTCTGCCAACAAAATTGATTTGGTCAAGTCTGTAGTTTTTCACTAAAAATCGATTGACCATTAGTAAAAACCCACCAACTGAAGTTGTATCAATTTGGGTCTATTTCTGGTTTAGTTTGCTTGCTCAAAAGATTTAAACTTAAAAATTAACTTTAAATTTCATAAATTATAATGATATTATTAAGAAATAAATTACAAAAATTAAATCTATGATCTAAAATATAAAAATATCTATGACAAAAGGTGATTTTTAGGGTTATTCCATTAATTTTATTTTTTACATTTTATTAATTATATTTTGTAATTCTACTTAATTTTAAATTATTATTAGCTTTAATGTTTGCTAAGAAAAAAAATTATTTTAATTATTCATTTTTGTCTTTATATTTGGTACTTTTTGTACTTAATTGTAATTTTTTACTTTTTATTATTTTTTTATTTTAATTATTCTATGGTTACAATTTATTCAAAATAAACATTAAAAATTTAATAACTTGCATTATTTTATCCTTTTTTATTGATTTTATCAAAAAGCAAGCTAATTTTTAATATTAGTTTTGTAGTGGAAATTTTAACTAAATAAACTGATTTTATAATTTAATTAGATTGTATTATGTCCAATTAAAATTATAATATAATTAATTGAGTTATTGATGGAACACCTATCCATTTATTGAAAACCAAATATTCTGGATTCATCATCATGCCTTTTAAAGAGGATAATTGAATTCCTAGTATGCCTTCGTTCTTAAAGAAATGGAATAGTTATCATAAGAAGATTGCCTTTGAAGATTGACATTAGATATTTGAAAGGAGTAAGGAGAGGGTAATGACGTGGGTTAAGGAGTTAGTTGAGAATGATAAATGAGAGAGAGAGAGAGAGAGAGAGAGTTAAGGAGGAAATTTTCTGCTTTATAGAGCCTTGCCATGTGGCACAATAAGAGGTCAGGGTTGAGGTAATGGAGGAAAGAAAGAAAGCGAATGAGAGACCAATGATGGATAAGGGAGAAAGGAGAGAAGCTTAAGGAGAGAAGAAAGAAGGGGGAATGGGAGAAGGAGAGGGGTGTTGAGGTAGGACCTAATCACTTTATAATATACTAGCACAGACCCATTTGATGTGCAGATTTTGTTAAGTGAAAGTTAAACAGTACAAACACATAAGAGTAGACAATTGTTTTACATTTTAACTTTTTAAATGATTAATAATTATTTATATTTTTATACTATTTTTAATAATTTTTTCTAATACAAAAACAACAATAATAAATTTTAGCAAGGGCTGTTCATAAAACCAAACTAACCAAACCGACACAACTCAACATGATTTGGTTGGTTTTCTAATATTTCTTGGCATCTACGGTTCAGCAATTTCCCAACCCTGATCAGGTTATATTAGTTTCAGTTTAGCCATTTTTGAACTGACTAAAATCGAACCAACCCAACCATAGTTATTATTTGAAATTGAAGCATAAAGAGAACATGACATTCTAGTTGGGTCAAGTGAATCTAAATCTATATTATTTCTCACTATTTTAAATAAAAGTAATTCAAATTTAATAAATATTAGTTTTAATCAGGACCAATGTAATGTACAAACTTTGTAAAGCGAAATTGAAGCAAAGGGATCCTTGTGACATTCCCAATTAGGCTAAAGCAATCTAACTCCAATCCAATTAATTAAATTTAATAATAATAAAAGTTAATAAGTAATTAACTTTAACATTTTTTGATTGATTTTGTTGGCATATTAATGCAATTATTTTTAAATGGATTTTAAAGTAAATCACATTGTACTTTTATTTATTGTAAATTTTATAATTCCAATTTATTTTATTAACTATAAATATTTTAATTGTTTATATTAAACCATAACTAAATCTATTTTCATCTTTTTTGTGATATTTTTAATGATCATAGTATTATTAATAATTAATCACAAATGACATTTAAAATTATAACTTTTGTGTTAATATTTTTATAAATTTATAATACAATGGATTATTAATAAAATTGGCATGTCAAAACCAAGTTAAATCGGGTAAATAATTGGTTCTAACATGTTTGTTGGTCATTTGAGTGAGTTAGTCAACTATGAACGAATTGGCCTAGTCATAAGTTGTATTGAACATGATACATTGGTATTGTTTAATGGAGAGGTAAGAGAACAACCGTCCAAGAGACGGATCATGTACTGGGTCAAATTACCCGCAATAGTGAAGAACATAGTGTTCAATGTGGGTACATTGAAATGGGCCAATCTTGACCCAATTTTGATGGCCTTCTCTGCCTGACTAATAAAATGGACTATGCAGAAACCATTTCATCAATACGTATGCATTTTCTTTTTGTTTCTAGCAATAAATCAGAACCCATGAATTGCAAAATAATATTGTTTAGTAGAGAGGACTATTAATGGATCGAATTTACTCAACAAAATTGAACCGACCGAACATGTTGGTTTGGTTATGTGGTTTTATCACAATCAATAATGGCTTAAGACTGGTTTTTTGGTGTTGTGAGTTGATTAACATCTGAACCAATTATATAATTACTAATATAAAGATCTTTTGTGATTATTATTTTATTTATCGTCTAAAAGAATAAATTTTATAAATAGTACACTAGTTAATTATTGTTAAAAATGCATGTTTCAGCATATTAATTTAAGTTTTGTTAAGGTTATATTATCAAAATGAAGTTTCTAATAAATTGTTATTATCATTGGTAATTATAGGTGTCAAGTATAATTCGGTCAGGTCAGACCTTATTATCACAATGTAGACATGTGAATTTTTAAGCCAAATAAATGGGTTTAATTTACATGACAGCCTCTAAATTAAATATGGGCCTCCATGGGCCTAAGGCCTAAATCTACATAAATATGTCTGATGGCTTAAGGATCCAAGTGTATTAAGTCCAATCTAGCCCATCTCTTATAAAGTGGTCCCATTGGCAAGGCCACTAACTCCTACATAATGGTGCATGTATAGGGGTTAATCCTAACCCAACACCCCACTCATATGAGATTAGTTAACTAAGTGGGATGAGGTGGCAATCCTAATTTGTGGCTATAAATAGTCTTGCCTAAGAAGAGAAAGGGTTCATCTTTTCACAATCACATTGCAAGAAGCTTTCAAACACTAATATTGAAGATTGCAAACAATCAAAAGTTCCTACAAACTCTTGCAACTGCAAGATTAAGAAAAAAGAAAGAAGGAAAAAGCTTTTTCACTCTCAACAACACACTTGGATTCAAGCTCTCCCAAGAAGATCAAGCCACCACAAAAGCGTCCTTCTTAGAGAAACATCATTTACAATTGATCAAGCGCAAAACCCGGATTTAATACTCTACATCAAATCTCTCAAAGCACCAAAATCAAGGAAATCTATGTCAACATTTCAAGAAGTACGAGAAACATGCCAATGGCCTTTGTCTTCACCGAATTCAACCGTTAATCAAATGTTACTCACATTATCGAGTAAAAAATCAAAGAGAGTTCATTCCCTTGTTTCATTCTTTATTATAAATTTTTTTTTATAATTTATTTTTATATTTTGTATTAATTAAAATATACGAAATTTATGTCAACACACAATTAATATTAATTTGATTTGGGTCGTTCTTATTGTCTTGATTAATAATGGGAATGGGATTGATACACTCTATTCTGAACAAGACCCAACCCATCGATGACTCTATCAATAGACTTGGATTCTTATTTTAGAAATAAAACCTACTTTTCTTTTATCATTTTTATCTTTCATGCTGACATGCACTTGGCAATTTAATGGACCTTGGGTATTGTATATAGTCAAGACATTGTCCCTTTCTCCACCCCCAATGTGTGATAATGTAAAGTTGACCGGAAATAACATCAATTGAAATACAACTTGTACAATATCATTTTACTCTTTCAGTTTTTTTCTGATAATTATATGGTACCAATTGACTCTTTCCATAGACAATCAATTTGACTGATCAATTAGGTTATGTTTGGTTTAAAGGAAAAGGAGATATTTACAAGTTTCCTTGTCTTTTCCTTCCTTTCCTTACCTTTTCCTTCAAACCAAATACAGCTTTAATATCTCCAATTGTTCTAAGAGAGAGAGAGACTTTTAGAAAGAAGCATGAGGGATAATTATTGAGAACATTGATTTAAAAGAGATTTTAGGAATTGGAGATACTTTAGATGACATTTAGGCAAAGAAATAAGAAAAAATAGGAAAACATATAATTTCCCTTGATAGAAATGTAAGGCATTGAGGATAATATATTCAAGTGATATAGATGGTGGAAAAAGGGTGATGATGTGGCATTAAGAGAGGGCTAAAAATGGGCAAGGGATCGACAAAGAGGGCTTGACATGGGACCTGATCACTTTATAATATAATATAGAATATAGATAATATATATAATTTATTCTGTCATAGAGCTGCCCCTGTATACACGGCTCATTCCAATATCATCACGATGTGGATCATGATTTTTTTTCTTTTTAAAATAAAAAATATTTCATCTGGACGAAGACTTTGCAAATACAAAATATATATTTGAAAAGTCTTGGTGGGGACCATACAAATCATGGCGTTAGTATGCAAAATTGAAGAGAGACTTAGGTTGACTTTGGAAGGAGTACAATTGCAAATATGTAGAGTGCAAAAATATATGTATGTATTTGCAGTGTACATATATATATTTGCACTCTTTTCAAACTGAGCCTTAATGACATTTTTAATTGAATCAAGTAAATCCAAACCAAGTCGAAATGAGATGATAAACATTACTTTTCCATTCTCAGAATTCAACTCTATTTGGCTTCTTGAAGCCTCGCAAGAAGCAAATTAGAGTCTTGCGATCATCTCAACAAACAGCAAATTAAATAGCTCATGGCTTGTTCTGTGCTGCTCCATCTTATCTTACTAACGGCGTCCGCCTCGGCATTTCCTGGAACCAAACCAGGGTGTCAAAAAAGTTGTGGAGAAGTTAGCATCCCATATCCGTTTGGTGTCGGAAATGACACTAACTGTTTCAGAGATTCAGAATTTCAGCTCGTCTGCAACATCTCTTATCACCCTCCGGTGCTAATGTATGGTGACTTTCCTGTTTTAAATATATCGCTGCTGTCTGGAGAGATGACCCTCCAAACGAAGATATCTGAAGACTGTTACTATGAGAACGGCAAAAATTCTGCAGATGACAGTTCGATAAAAACATTGAGTGACGCGTTCAGGTTCTCCTATACCCGGAACAAATTCACGGCTATCGGTTGCGACACGATAGCCTTCATGTCTGACACAGAACTTGCTACCATCTTCGGCAGTGGCTGCATATCTTGGTGTTTGAACACTGAAAATGGTGAACGTTCTTGCGATGGCAAAGGCTGCTGCCAGACGGAGATCCCAAAAAATCTCGAGACATTTTACATGTCACTTGATAGCTTTTCCAACTACACGAATTCCAGGTGGAAGTACACAAGATGTAGCTACGCCTTCTTAGCCGACAAGGAATGGTTCAAATTCTTGGAGTCAGATATCTGGAATTTTAGTAAGAGAATAGAAAGCAATTTCGACAAGGTGCCCAGAACACAGGTCGTAGTTGACTGGGCAATTAGGAACCAGAGCTGCAAAGAAGCACAAAAAGTAGATCCAGCGAGTTATGCTTGCAAGGAGAATAGCCACTGCTCCGATTCTAGCAATGGACCTGGTTATCTTTGCTACTGCAAATATGGTTACCAAGGGAACCCATATCTTCCCGGCGGATGCCAAGGTAAGCTATACGTTCTTCTTCTTCTTCTTCTTCTTCTTCTTCTTCTTCTTCTTCTTCTTCTTCTTCTTCCTAATTTCTCTGTTTAATGGGTGGCAGATATTAATGAATGCATTAACAACCCATGCAAGGGATTGTGCACAAATACCCCCGGGAGTTACAATTGCTCCTGCCCTCCAGGAACACATGCAAATGGTACAACCGATTGCATCTCTTCTTCCGGCAAAAAAATTCCGATGGAACGCTTGATGTTAGGTAAAGTTCTCTTACTCCTATTTTCTTCTTTCTTTAGCTTGGTATTCCTCTCTTACTCCTGTTTCTTATCTATTAAAAGTTTAAAACTAACATAATTAATTTTGTGACGTTTGTATTTTTACTTTTTTGTTCAAAGAATTTATTTAGATGAACACAAAATCTGCTCTCAACCCATAAGGTGGTGTTTGACTTGACAGAAAATCAGAAAGAAACGGAAAGCTGGGGGGAATGTTCAAAACGAATCGTTAGCCTGGATTGGATTTAATCCAATTTGAATTTCAGTCCATTTAGGTTGCATTCCACATATCTGTTTAATTACGATGGAATCATAGTTGATTTGAAAGTTTGATCCATTTATGGGATCCAAGTTCAAACTTCAAAGATTGCTTGAACTAATCTCCTAGGATTTTTTTTTTAATTTATTATGGTCGAAATCTCCAAGTTTCATGCAAAAATGTGTGTATATGATTTCAATTTAAGTTTCTTTACTATTAAGTAAGATTTTAGATTTAAACGAAATTATGTTTGTCTATTTACACTATAAAGTTTCTTCCTTTCTATTCAGTTTTGTAGACTTATGCTAGTTTTCCAAAGAGCTACCGAGTTTAGGATTGGACCGGATATCTGTATTTATTAATAAATTGAATTCAGTATGCCCTTAGAAATACCCTATCTGAATTCGATCATCGGACGCAGTCTGAAATTATCCCAGGAAGTTCATAGAAGAGGGGTATAGCTAGTATGATAAACTGCCTGGACTGGGTTTAAAGTCAACCCAGGCCCAATCTTAACTATTGTTTTTAATTCTCGAGTTCGGGCAGAGCCCAAGGGTTAGGGTGCAAATGGATCGGATAAATCCAAAATTCGGTTCTATTTTGTCGGATTTTTGGATAGGATGATACTGATTGGATCGAATTTGGATCATTTCTATTCATATCTATTGCACTTTTTGTAATTTTTTTATATTATTTATTTCTTTATAAAAAAACATGTATATATATATATGATGAAAATAGTTGAAAAAATATTTATATTTTTTGTTTTTTATATAAATTGTTATGTTTTTATCTATTAATAATTTATTAAAATTTTCAAAAATTAAATTGGCCCAGATCAGATTTGGATATCTGACATCCTTAAGGGATTTAGACTCAGATTGGCGTTTCTAAGATCTCCGTTAGTAAAGCATGATCCATAAAACCCAGGCCCAGCCCCAAGTAAAATTTGATACACTCAGGTTGGGATTGTGTCCGCACAGGCTCAAGTTTATCACTCGAACTTGGGAAGACTTAAGACTTGTTGGGTCCAATTTTAAAAATGGTCCTAATCATATCTAAGCCATTAGATAGGAATATTTTATGTATATATCGATGTATTTTAGCATGTATGCATGTAATGGAAGGGATGCAACTTGGGCATCTCCAACCCAATCCCAACCTAACCCAACCTAAGATTTTGCACGGGTTAGGCCTAAGTTTTCAAGTTGTAGGTTGGGCCTAGACCAGAAAGCTCAGGCTCAACCTAAACTTGGGTTGGGCTTGGGTTGAGGCCCCGGGTAGTCTGAGCTTGATCCAAGCCTGACCCAATCCAATCCCGCCCAAAAAAAAATATATACATGTGTATATGTAGAGGTACATTTATAAATGAAGTTTGTACATATTTTTAATTAATTTTACTCTTATTTCAAACCTGACTAACTTGTCCAAGCCCAAATAACCCAACCCGGCCTGGCCCAGCCCAAGCCCAAGCCCAAGCCGAGTTATATTGGGTTAAGCTCAGGTTGAATCTGGGTTGATAAACTTGGCATGAACCTCGGGTTGGAAAAGGCCCAAGCGAAGGTTGGAAGGTTTCAGATGAATGTTTACAAGGAATCTTAAGCAATTGCCGGGGTTCTTGGCCATGCAGACATAGTGGAACCTATTAGAAAAAGAAGTTTGGACGTGTCTTAAGTCCCAAAAGGCAAAGAAATCAAGGTTTGCACCATGGTTTTTAAAACTGTCCTGGAGACCGGACCTGTCAAGAGTCCGGTTATCAGGTCGAACGGTCCGATCGGTCAGCCCATTCTGACAAAAAAATTAAAAAAAATGAAAATCAGTCAAAACCGTTTAAACAGTTAACCATCCAAGTCATCAGTTTGCTGACCAAAATCAACAGTATTTATGAAAAATCCGATTTTGGGGAAAACCAGAACCGGTCACCTGACCAGTTCCCGGTTTTTCTGGTCCTGTCCGGTTTTGAAAACCATGATTTGCACAATCTCATTACTTGCTAGCATGCAATTCTCTTTTTCTTTTTAATATTTTCCTGCATGCAAACTAGCATTTTTCCATGCAAGAACTTTCATCCTTCATTTCTTGTAATGTTTATTTGAGATGAGCACAAATATGCTTCCATGTTTACGAGCGAGTATTCCATATAATTTTCATTTCATTATTTCTTCCATATACATGCAGGTATCTCTTTGGTTCTTTTGTTTCTTGTAATTGCCAGTTCTTGGATGTATTGGGGTATGCAGAAAAGAAAGCTCACGGAGCTAAAACGGAAATTCTTTCAACAAAATGGGGGTTTGCTTCTACAACAGAAGCTTTCTTCACACGAATGCTCTCTTGAGAGGACTAAGATTTTTACTTCAGAAGAGCTAAAAGCTGCAACAAATAACTATGAAGAAAGTAGAATCATTGGCCAAGGTGGTTATGGTGTTGTTTACAAAGGAATACTACCAGACAACAAGGTGATCGCCATTAAGAAGGCAAAAGTAATAGAAAGCAGCCAAATTGATCAATTTATAAATGAGGTTCTCATTCTTTCCCAAATCAATCATAGAAATGTGGTAAAGCTATTGGGTTGTTGTTTAGAGACTGAACTTCCATTGCTTGTATATGAATTCATTAGCAATGGAACTTTATTCGAACATATCCATGATGAACAATACAAATGTTCAGTCTCGTGGGCCAACCGTTTAAGGATTGCTTCAGAAACAGCAGGAGCACTAGCATATTTACATTCTGCAGCTTCCCCACCAATCATCCACAGAGATGTGAAATCAGCCAATATACTTCTGGATGAGAACAATATAGCAAAAGTTTCAGATTTTGGGGCTTCAAGGTTAGTTCCTTTGGATCAAGTTCAATTAACTACATTAATACAAGGAACTCTAGGGTATTTAGATCCAGAATATTTGCTTACAAGCCAACTTACAGAGAAGAGCGACGTTTATAGCTTTGGAGTTATTCTTGTAGAGCTATTAACAGGAATGAAAGCACTTTCTTTTGATAGACCAGAAGAAGAGAGAAATTTGGCCATGTATTTCGTTTCTTCAATGAAAGAGAACCGTATGATGGAGATTTTAGAAGATCGAGTGGCACATGAAGGAAATATTGAACAACTTCGAGAAGTGGCTCGATTAGCAAAAAGATGCTTACAGTTAAATGGGGATGAAAGACCTACAATGAAGGAAGTTGCAATGGAACTTGAGGGATTGCGAAGGCTTCAAATGCACCCATGGATTGAACAAAACCCAGAAGAAACTGAATATTTGTTAGGAGATCCATCAAAATCTTCCATTAATGGTGGCACCGAATGCGATGATAGTTTAAGGAATGAGGTAATATTGTCTTTGGAAGGTGGCAGATAGTGGCCGAGTGCCTCAATTGTAGTCTAGATTAATGAGATCCGATAGGCCTCAAAGATTTTTTTTTTTTTTTTTTATGAAGCCAGACTGTAGTTTTAGTTTTAAATTGTCGTATTACGTGTATGAATTATATTATTTTTATATAGAACAACACTTAGCAAAAATATCTCATCACTTGTTTTAATTTTAAATTGTTATTTACTTTTATGATGTATGTATTTTTAACAATGAGCGGTCCATGCCATGATAACAAAATTTTATACACTAGACCATGGTTTTGAAAATCGAATTAGACTAACTAGGGAATGGTCAGGTAAATTGATTTCGTTTTGACTTGGGTGGTCGAATCATCGATTTAGAAAATGGTTTTTGGTCATTTTTATTTTTATTTTTTATATTTTTTATTTTTTAAATCAGAACGAACCACCCATTTGAACCGGATGATCGGACTTGTTAACTCAAGAACCAGTCCCAGAACAATTCCTTGTCCAATTCGGTTTTTAAAACCTGGCACTTACTAGACTCTAGAATTCAATGATCTCAACAGTGTCGTTACGTGTTTGAAACAACAGCCAGCTGACATGAACTGAATGACTTAATATTGCTTTTTCTTGTAGTTTTTATTTGTAAGCTTGTGGCCGAAGCTGAGGTTCGGTTAATTACTATAACCCCAAATATTTTATTATTTAATTATTCAATCAATAATAGACAACAAAATAAGTCATTCAATTCAGCAACTTCAGTTATCATAGGTCAAGATAGTAGGATAGTAGAATGCTAGTATATAGAACACCATTTTATATCTTCCCTGAAAGACAAGCAATATATATAGAGGAAAGCTCTAATTAAGGCTGCAACTTGGGTTGAGTTGGGTTGGGTAGGGTCAGGTTGATGCTCGGGTTAGGGTTAGGGTTGAAATTTATGAACCCGACTTTACTTAGGGTTGGATTGTGGTTAATCCCTTGGGCAATCCGACTCAACCCGAACCCGACTCTATTGTGCATATCATATATAAATATATTATATATGATATATAATATATTTGTTTGTTTATATGCATGATAATTATATAGCCCCCACCACATGCTACCATTTATTTCTTTTAAGATAATCAGTTCACTTAATCCTAATTAGAAATACTAAAACCTCAGTAACATATTTTATGTTTTTGAATATTTTATTCTTTATCTCCTCTCTGTTGTTTTACCACCTATACTTGCTACCTATAAAATATCTATTATAAGTCATAACTCATAATAAACTATAGTCATTTAAAACACTTTTTTTTCTGAATTTTGCACTTAAAGAACCAATAAAAACATCAACAAATAAATACTAATAAAACATAGGATTAATATATGTAGTAAAAGTTGAGTTAAGATATGAGATTAAGAAGTTCTACAAGATTATAAGGAATGGGAAGAAGGTTGGGTTGGATTAGGATTGAAGGAATTTAGTTAAAGTTAGGGTTAGGATAGGGTAGGTCGGGTTGGGTTAGGATTAAGGTTAGGGCTGGGGGTTTAGAACTTAGAATTGGGCTAAGATTGGCCTCAATCCAACCTAACCCAACCTGACTTGCAGCCCTAGCTCTAACAGATACATGGATCTTTGCAGCCCATTATCTAAAATTAATGTGGTTGTAAAAGTCCAATGGTTCAACCCACTAAAAAACCCAAATCCAATGGTAAGTATATTAAGATTAATTAAATGGCTTGAATGGTGAAGATTAACCAACCAATGCAAGCCATTAAAGTGGTCTCTTTAAGATCAATGGATTAATATAAACCAACTAATTGATAACAAGGTTGCAATCAATCTAGACCATCCGAATAATGTGTCTAATAAGGCCAAGGTCAAGCTTTAGCAAATTAAATTAGAGACCATGTTCCTCAAATTGGTATCGATATAAAAATCAATAGATACTCGTTCCAGCAGAGACATGGGATTGAATCCCGTTGCCGGTTGCCACCAGGGTAAAGGGTTATGGGTATGGGGGATGGGCTACCCCCCGTAGCAGTGAACCAAAATCATTTTCTTTTTTTTTTTTAGTAGTAAAATAAGATTTTATCAGAATTAAAAAGGGTATAAGATAAAGCATCCCAACCCAAACAAAACGAAGGCCAAAACATCAAGTTATACAGCTTGTACAAACAAGCTCTATAAAAAAGAAACTTAGCTAGCCCACCCCACAAACTCAGGAACCTCATCTCTAAGACTAATAATTCTACCCAAAAAATCATCTGCATGCCCACGAAAGAAAGAAGCCAGGCCAAATGCGAGATGTCACTGAGACCTCAAGTAAACTACATGTACTCAGGCTTAGGGATGGATTTAAGCCGAGCCAAGCTGAATACTTGGTTATTCGAGCTTGGCTTGCTGAAATAGTCTTAGGCTTGAGGACTCGAGCTTCAACTTGATTCAAGCTAGAGATTTGAGCTCAGTTCGATTACAAGCCAAGTTTTTTCTAAAAAATAAAAATTATACAGATAAAAATATTTTTTTATTTTACATACAGCAAAATAAGAAATAAAAATTATTTATTATTATATATAAAAAATAAAATATATATATATAAATTGATTTTATTTTACATACAAAAAATAAGAATTATAAAAATTATTTACTATTATGCATAAAAAATAAAAATATTATTATATATAATAAAAATTCTTTATTTTATATATATTTATATATTTCTATTTATATGTATGTATATATGTATGTATGTATGTATGTAATAAAAATTTATTTATTTATTATACTATGCTCGCAAGCCTCATGAGCCAAGCTTCACTGGGCTCGAGCTCGGCTTGATTAGAAAATGAGCCTATTTATCAAGCTCAAACCTCGGTTTAAACCGAGCCGAACTCAAACAGCTCGTGAGAAGCTCAGCTCATGGCAATCCCTACTCAATCTCCTTGATTAGATTGAGCTCCTCCCTCTCCCACCTCTCCCCGAGACACTATAAGACAATCTCAACCCTACTTAAACCACTTTGTCAAAACAGAAGTCAACAAACTTTCTCCATTTCCAACATTCAGGGGCTGTCAAAAGCCTTATCTCCAACTTGCTCCTTAGGAAGCCTATATATACAAAGAATCCTTGAAGGAATTTTGACTAATAGCCTTTGCTCCAAGCTTTGAAAAACCTCCTAACCCACAATCTTCACCTCTCAGCATATTTGTTGTTAACCAACATCATTTGCACATAGAACCAAATTCATATGCAAGAAATTGTCAAAGTCAGATCGAAAATTAGAAAAGAGAGAGAGAGAGAGAGAGAGAGCATAGCCGAATGGTGGATGTGACACCTTGTAACAGTCGACACCCTAAAAATTATATTTATATTAAAAGGTAAAAGGAAAAATCTGCCCTTAATGTACAAAAGAAAGAGAACAAATAATAGTTATACAACAAAGGAAAAGTAAAAGAACAAAAATAGCCCTGCGGCTAATTTCTCAATCCTTTACACTCCCCCTCAAACTGATGCCTAGGAATAAGCATCAGTTTTTCCATGAGAAATAGATGCCAAGCTCGAGTCATTGCTTTAGTCAACAAGTCTGCTAGTTGAAGCCCGGAAGAGACATGAAGAAGAGATATGGTACCCCCAAGAAGAAGGTCGCGGATGAAGAGGCAATCAACTTCTATGTGTTTGGTGCGCTCATGGAAGACGGGGTTGGAAGCAATTTTAATTGCACTAATATTGTCTACATACAGAGGGACAAATGATGTTGGATCATTAAGTATTTCAAATAGAGGAGCCCAAAGGCATATGATCTTACTACACACGGAAGGCATAGCCATGTATTCAGCTTCAGTGGAAGATTTGGACATAGTAGTTTGCTTCTTGCACTTCCATGAGATAAGAGAATTGCCTAAGAAAACACACCAACCAGTAGTGGATCGTTGGGTGTCAGGGCATCCAGCGTAACCAGTATCTACATAGGTCATAAGATTAATAGGGGATCTTCAAGATGATAACCATCATCTTTGCTAAGTTTCAAGTTCAATTCTAGTGGGGTGTCCACAATCTTAGAATCACTAAGATTTGCCAGTTTAACAAGATTAGCCGCATACTTTTGCTGATTAACAAAGTAGCCCCGAGAGTTTATGCTCACTTCAAGTCCTAAGAAGTATGTCAAAAGGCCCCATGTCCTTCATCTTAAAGGACTCACTAAGTAACTGTTGTAGCCTAGCAATTCTTTCTGTGTCATCCCCTACAATGAGTATATGATTAACATAAAGGAGTAATATCGTTACTCCCTGCTTCCACCTTAAGGTGAACAATGACTAATCGGAAGAACTCTGGATAAAGCTAGCATCAGTCATGACAGATCTGAATTTCTCAAACCAGGCCCTAGGAGCTTGCTTCAGGTCATAAAGTGACTTCTTCATACGACAAACAAGCTGCGGGTCTGTACAATATCCCGGAGGAGGCTTCATGTAGACTCTCTCTTTCAACACCCCATGGAGAAAAGAATTCTTGGCATCCATCTGATGAATTGTCCACTGTATGGTTGCAAATACAACCATCAAAAGTTGTACAACGGTCACTTTAGCTACAGGAGCAAAAGTCTCCTCATAGTCTATCCCAAATTCCTGTTTGTAGCCCTATGCAACAAGCCTAGCTTTGTTTTTGTCTAGGCTTTCATTATATTTTAGTTTCACAGAATAGACCCATCAACTTCCTATGAGAGGTGTCTCAAATGGAGCTTTGACCAAGTCCCAAGTGTCATTCTCAAGAAGAGCTTGAATCTCAGAATCCATGGCATCTTTCCAGTATAGTTCTGCTACAGCCTGCTAGTAAGATCTGGGGATTCCAATGGTAGATAAAATTGCAAAAAAGGAGCTATGGTTTGGTGAAAAACCATAACGGTTAGGTGAACAAGAAATTATAGAGGAACGATGTAAAGTAGGAGTAGTGGGTTCAAGAGGAAGGTCTTGAACACTTACTAAGGTAGCTGGAGTGACCAGATCAGCAACTGGAAGCGGAGCAGAGTGGGGATGGAGATTAAAGAAGGTTGTTGCTTACTAAAGTAGGTCTAATGTTGTTGTGGAGGTGACAGT